ACGTGTCCCAGCACAACAAAAAAAACAGACAGCCAAAGAGGAGAGAGGAAGATAAAAGACTACTGAGAGAGCCGACAAAGACTAATGAGGCTGGTGAAGGCAAAGCCCAGGGCAGCACCATCAGTGCACCTGAGGCAATGGCCCAACCAAAAGCCAGTCACATTACGGGGGCAGAGCAGGGAGCTAAGGTGAGGAAGGATATGGAAGGTTGGGAGGTATTTAATTAAAAGCTTGGATCTTCTACATTTATAACTCCCTTTGCTTCCCTTGTCTCATGATAGCAGCAATTTGGGAGGACTGGCAACCCCAGGCATCCAGAAGAAGCTGCGCACCTGTACAGGCACGTGCATCAGCTGAGCCTCCCAGCCTAACCCCTTTCGGAAAACACAACAATTGCCATTCCCTGGGATGTTTATTTCCAGAGAAGTCATCAGCTAAGTGCCAAACTCACTCACTCTCAGTGGAAGATTTTCATTGCACCTTCCCCCTCTCCACACATATATATTTATTCCCCTAGCACCAACACAGATGCACTTGCATATAGATATCAGTAATGGGACTCAGCTCTGCTCTGTATATTAAAGCTGCTTTCTTGAGTGGGATTAATCTTGGCAGCTGTCTGACAGGAGAGACTGTGTGGGAGGAGAATGGTTTTATCTAAAACTTGAAAGAAAGCAAAAATAATCTTTGAGAGAACAAACGGTGTTTCAACTCTTGGTCCTTCAGTGGAAGACTATTTACTAACAGAAGATACACAACAACAGCAAAAATACAAAAGTATGGCTCTAAAAGGTAACATAAGGACTGTGTATTTTTTTTCTTTCCTTTTATTTATGTGGCCACTTTTCAAAACATTTATTAATAATATAGTTTAGTCTTCCTATAGAGACCCAGAATCTGAAGCAGTTTTGAAAATGAAATGAAGGAAATCCCATGGCTTTCTTTCAGCTATGGTGGAGCAATCCCACCCTGCCTCTGCTGTACCTTCAAAGATAGGAAACCTGTCGAATATGACAGTATGAAATATCTCCACATTTCTGATTTATTTCTCCAGAGCAATCACATTGCTGAAAGGTCTCAGTGCTCCACGTAATTATAAAAAAAGTTTGCTCTTACAGAAGCTGTATTTCCCCTCACTCCCATGGAAGTTTCACCTGGAAAATGTCACCTCACTACTGCTGTGCCCTTGCTCAGGAGGCAGCGTGCTTTCACATCAGCGTGGCTGCTCTGTTTTCAGTCCCTCAGTCTACCCCTTGGGCCCAAAGTCCTCCTCGGCTCAGGAGACAGCTCCGTGCCCACTCAATCCTTTCTTCTGACTCTGGGCTCTTGTTCCAGCCTGTCCCACTTATCCTCTCCTCACCTTCATGCTGATGTCTGGCAGGATAATGCTCCATCCTACTCTGGCTCATCACTGGCTTTACGTCACTCCTGAACTTGTCCCTTGCTGTCACCCTGTTATTTCCTCCTCCCATGGACCAGAGCAAGGACTGCCTCCTTGCTTGCAGCTCCAGGGCAAAGAACAGCAGCTACTGAAGTGAAGGGTCCCAAAGCAAACCAAGCCTGATGGCTGACCTTTTGGTCTGAGAAATTTCAATTGAAACAATTAACAGATAAAGGCAGATGAAAATGCAGTCTCTCATGGGGAGTGCTGGGTATCTTTCTGCTACGTCTTATTGAAAGTTCCAGCTTTCACATGTAAAGATGTTCAAGAGAATCTTTTTCTTTCCCCAAACCTATTCAGCCCCAAAGATATGTAAGGAAAAATAAGAAAATAAAAGTGCACCTGCAAAATATGGAAATTTGCAACTGATGAAGGAGAGTTGTTTCTGAACAAACCTCTGCTGGCAAGTCCTCTGTACCTCGCAGGATGCAAATTCAGTAACAGAACAGCCTCCCTTTGAGATGGTTCAACGCTCTTTGGCATTTGCCATCTTGTGAATGAGGGTCTCTGCAAGGACTCTGCTGGCAGCAAAAGCCACAGAGCTTCATGCACCTGCACCTCTACCTCGAACAGCTCAATAGCACAACGCAAATGACACTTTTATGCACACCCTCACCTGCTGCCATCACTGCTTCAGGCTTCAGCAACACTAATGTATTAAATAATGTCAAATTAATCGTATTTGAGGCTGTTCCTCAGGATGAATATTCAGTTCTTACTGGATCTCTAGGAAGGCATCTTAATAATGCTACGCTCCTGCTCTCTTGAGAGCAATGACTTATCACGCAACCACTCCACATTTTTCGCAGATCTCCAAATTATTTTGGTAAAAGCATGCTGCAAATGTTATGCAAAAAAAAAAAAAAAAAAAAAAGCTTTTTGAAGCTTTTCAAAAGACATACAGAGCATGAAAATGATGCGGTAACCTGTTTGCATAGAGCTCTGCCATCTATCTCCCCAGACTCTTGGAAAACTGACATGGTCCCTCAAGGGACTTACTTGATTAAAGAACATTAATTAATTGAGCGAACATCTGTGCTGTTTTTCAACTAATAATTAAGATTAGCTAGGAATTGTAATCCCTGTAAAAGTGAAAAGTATACAGAATAACTGTAGCCCTGTTTCTCACAGAATTTGGGTAGGGATAAGCAACTGCAGCATGTGCATAGCAGTTCCTGAGAGGTTTGTAAGGCTCTGTGGTGCAAGCAGGCAGTTTGTTTCCTCACTAGCCCAGAAACAGGAACATTTTATTTTTGGCTTCATGTGTTAACATATTAACCATGACAGTGCTGACATCTGTTGCTAAGTAAAATTGAGTATAAATGGTGTAGAAAGCTGCCATTAAACTCAGAAATTATTTTTGGAGTTTGAAATTAAGTACTGTCAACACAACTGATGTTTTCACTTATACACAAAAATGACAGGAATTTTAATGATTTCTCCAAATTCCACATACAAAAGTAAGAAGGAAAATAAAAGTAAGTTTTTAAATTGCTCTCAAACTGTATTACAAAAAGTGACCAACCTGTAAGATATCGTAAGAGCCCAAAGACTATTTAAGTGCACAGAGTATGTAGCAGGGCTAGATGAGAAAGCATCATGTCACTTGTGGAAAGGAAATGTTGTTTCCAACCCACTCAGTGCTTCCATCTCTCACTGCAACTCACGAGGTCAGAATACACCCAAGAGCACCCTTTTCCTCACACAGGAGATAGTCCTAGTTAGCCACAGGGCTTTATTACTGAAGCCAAGGAGAGCCAAGGCATTGGTATGCAACACCAAAAAGAAGCAGAGATTAACAGCAAAAATGAGATTTCATTGCACATGACAGAAACCAATTCAGAGCCTAGAGACCACAAATATCAGATGATTGCAAAAGACAACACTTCTGAAAGAGGAGATAGATTCATTTAAGCTGTTCTTAATAGCTTTTTGCTACTACAGGCACAAGGTCTAGAGGTAGTCAATGGAATTACCAGTCTGGAATTAGGATGGGACTGCTCAGCCATCAAATACTGGGGCTGCAATGGGAATTGGTGGGTTCATACAACTAGCATAGAAATTTTGTTAATTTTTCAGAAGTTTACAGAAATATTGGTTTCTGGTATGGACACACTCTGGACAATGACTGTACTCAGCCAGTAGCCCGCAATGCCCTCCCTCAGCTGTATGCTTTTTCTGCCACAGCTTTTAACGAGATTGAGTGGTACAGGGTAGCAAAAGACCCGTCTCACAGTACATTTGCATTGAATTTACTAATTGTAGGTGGTTTCTGAAAGGTTTACTTTCTGATCCCTGCTTGGTAAACAAAATGAAGGGAGCCTGAGAATTTCTGTTCTAGGCAGGCTGAACTCTTCCTCATAGCCCTCCGACTCCAACTGCTACCTGCTTTAGAAAAGGGGGCGAGGAAGAAATACCTTACTGCACTTAAAGACCAGCAGCAGCCCCAAGGAAGCTGCCAGCACTCAGCTCTCAGCACCTCAGGATTAAGGGATGGGGACAAGCAGCACTGGAAGCTCTGTGGTTCACTCGCACAGCTCCCAGCCGCAGGAGCAACTGGCCACATGCATCCTCACTGGACCTGGGCCCAGAACCACTTGAAATTTCTGCACAAGTAGGAAAATTAAGTTGGGAATTCAACAAAACTTGCTTCCTGTGGTGTCACAACAATTACAATCCTATTTAACTTATTTTTTTCCTCTTTTCTTCCTACTCTTTTTTTTTTTCATTTTCAAATGTTCCAATAACATATAATGTCTGGCGATAAAATTCTGTCTGGATAAAATTATTCCCTCTCTCTTTTTGTTGCTCACAATGCCGAGAGTTTAAAGCCTACTGAAGGATTAAAAAAATAATCTATTTGCTGTCATGATATCAAGCTTATCTACTTTATTTGGGCAGTAAATACACTTTTTGTGCTACCTGGCCCCACTCCAGCCCAGTACTATTTTGGTCTAATAACTCTGATGAAAATAAAATAGAATTTGCTACTGCCAACCCTGTCTTGAGGGGTTTATGCTTCTGCAAATGGAACATACAACTTGCAGAATGAGAGCAGGAACCTCTAAAGAAATACTTAAGTTTGACAGCGTAGAACCTTAGAGCATCCAGGGTGTGCATTTCCCTAAGAAAAAATCCCTGCATGACCAGAGGAAATGTCACAGTTCACACCATTAAGTGTGAACTTAATGGGAGAGCCCATGGACCAGCAGGATGCGGGGGGCAACTGTAAAGGGGACATACCCTGGACAGCCCCTTTCCAAAGTGCAGGTGCAGAGTGCGTTGAGATGCTCTGGAGGCTATGGCATCACTTAATCTTATTGGAGAAGGGATACATCTCTGATAATGTGGAGTAGTTGTAGTGTTACAATCAGACAATAGCTGAGCATGTTTGGAGGCATGTGCATATGGCAGTCACCAAGCTTAAATAAAGCATGTAAAAAAGCACGTAGGCATAACAACAGATTTGATTGTCATCTTGAGCTCAAAAAATAGGCTGTGTCACATAGGGGAAAAAAAACAGTGAAAATAATGGTAAAATAATGAAAAAAACACTTACCCTGGAGTCCTTTTCCAGGTGAAGCTTGTGTTGAAGACTGCGTCTTCTCCTGGCCTTGGCAATGCCATTGTGATAAAAGAAGTAACCAGTATCTAGAAAAGGGAGCTGAGGAAAAGAGAGAAAAAACATCATGAGGTTATTGGCTGCTAACAAGGATGACACGGAACATTTTTACCTGTGAAGTGACTCGGGAGTCTGCAAAACAAGACCAGTGAAGTTACACCAAAGGGCCCAAGGCACTCTTGAGAATGTCACTTCCAAGTTACTTTTGAAACAGGTGCCCATCAGCAGTAAGGGTCTTTGCTACAGGTTGAGGATGTGTAACTTTACTTGCATACGCTTGGTACTACTTTCACCTGAGGTTTAAGGGCAGCAGTGCCAGTATTTCTGAAGGGCTTCCCAAATCACATCAGGACAATTTCCTACTTCCTGAGAAAGCCAGAGTAAAAGAACAAAATGAACTTCAAATGATTTGAAACTATCACAAACCATCCTTCAGCAATAAGGCGTTACACGAGCGCTTTCCTCAGCCATTATAATGCCCTGACCTGATGCCATAAACAGTAAGGCAGAAAGCAGAGTGATTTCCACTCTCTGGTATTTGGAATTTCTTCTGGACAATTTAAAAATGGAATACAGAAAGAACACCAAGAAAACAGACAGACACCTGCACAGTGTCAGAGTGGGAGCAGTCTTTCACAGCTTTAAGAGACAAACTTTATATTTAAGACATTTAGGCAACAACCAAACACCTCCTGAGGGCTTTCCAGCCCACCTAAGGCAGGTGCCAGGGAAGGACGATACTCTTCCTTTATTAAAAGGACCTCTCTCTGCACGATTGGCAGAGAGCAACCAGAAGGCTAGCAGACACTTCACTTTGAGAAAGCGAACAGACATTTCCTTAAGAAAGTACCATACCACTTCCAAAGTCAATTAGAAAGCCCCATTTGCATCTCAAGTTCTACAGTTTTTCCTCATTCCAATTTAACAAGGACAATCTGGCTGAACGTTTAGATCCAAGCAAGTAACTGCACATTCTTTAGCTAAGCTTCTACTTGTAGAAGTTGGAAAAAAAAAAAAAAAAAGGAAAGGGCTCTTGTTGTGAAGTTACATGTTAATGCTGTGAACATTTCAACTTCAAACATTAGATTACCCTGCATGTAAAGTAATTACTTAGAAGACATATTCCAGAACCACCGTGACAGCCCTGTCCATCTCTCTTTTATTGTCTATACTTCATAATAATGTAAACCTCTTAACAGGAGCTCAAATTTCTTTACTGAAAAGCTGAGGCTGAAGTCTAGACAGAATATTCATTGTGAAAACCTGGGGTAAATAAGGGCAGCGGGACCTTGCTGTCATAAAACAAATTCTATTCCTCTATACAGGTATATGCAGTTCACAGATATAATTTTCCTGCCATGAAATTATCTCCTGTTTCATTACATTTATCTGTGTGGCTGCTGCAGTTCTGCAAATATATTTTGGCATTTATGTGGAGTGGCGTGGGAATGGAAGTTTCACAGTGAATTCTGAAAGTTTTACATTTGGGCACATTCCAAAAACGACTACGGTTTTCTTTCTTCTGCAAAGCCTTCTTTTTAGGTTATTTCAAACACTCAATATCAATGAAATCAAAGCATTTCATTTTTACTTTTAAAATTAAATTTTAAATTCAAATTTTAGAATTAAATATTAATACAAAGTAACTTAAAAAAAAAAATCAAAGCATTCTGTTCTGATAAAAAGTCCTGCTTTTATGCATATAGAAGGTCAAAAATATTTCATCAAAATCATTGTGGTCCCTTGGAACTGATTTGCAGGGGTGTCTGGAGAGCTTTTCTGGGCAAATAACCAGAATATTTTGTATCACTTCCATATACATGTGAAAAACAACACAGCTGAGTCAGAAGGAGAAAAGAGACCACAAAAAGCTCACATCAGTGGCCACAGAAGTCTCCAACACCTCCCACCTACCCACACCAATTAAGGCTCAAAGTCTATCTGGTTTTATCTCTTTTTAAAAACAAAACAAAGCAAAACAGGTTTGTGTTCTATGTTTAAAATGCCTAAACCTGGTGTCTTCACCAAACAGACAACAGGGTATTTCCATAATGCAGAGTTTGTCAATAGGTGTGACTTTCCAGAAAATGGCTCTTCCCCTGTGTAGGGTACATTACACCTCAAAAACAAGCAGGAAAAATCTTAGTAGTCAGACCAGTGAAGGCTTGAAATACATCTAGCTGTGCTAACCATTACTGTGCAGCAGAAGCTGCGGTCCAATTTCCCCTCTAATTCTCTCAGTGCAATCAGGCTGCTTTCCCTCTTTGTATCTCAGTATCAACCACTCAAATCAATGCCAGTCAAATATCAATCTTCTGTTCTTCCTTTAAGGAAAACTCTGAGCAATGCTGAAGATGTCTGGAAATATATAACATGTACTTGCTGTCCATTTTCAATGTAGGGCTAGTTTCTAGGAGCAATTAGAATGAAGAAATCTATTTTATAGTGAACTTTTAAAATCAATGTGTTCAATTCTGGCCATACGTGAAAGCAACTACAGTTTGTATCACAGTGGAAGAGACCAAATGGATAAAATTGTGGATAAGCTCGACTCACTTATTTCAGACTCTTCCACTTTTCTCACAAATGTCCCAGTAACCTTTGGGAAACTCAGACATTTTATGATTTGCAGTTTTCACTCTCCCTCAATGGAGTTAAGGGAAGGTAGACTGGAAGGGAGATAAGTGAGGCAATACCTGACACAGAACATGATCAAACACCACAAATGGTGAATATTTAATAGCAGAAACCAAGAGATGGGCAGGAAGAAACTAATCTCTTCAGTAAATCCTTAAAATTAATGAATTTGCTTGCAGGAGAAGTCAGATGCCAGCAAAGTGCCTAAGATGTCGCCTACTTTGATGAGGATTTTGCAGTGAAACCTGTGAATAGCACAAGCAGCCACAGACGTGCTCCACTTTTGATGAGCCCCTGTTACCGGCCCTGTAACTTCTCCGCAGCAGCCAAATGCCAGGACACAGGGACCTCACAGCGGGGTTCATGATCCTGCTATTAGTTTCTCTGGGAGGTCAGCACTCATTAGGAGTTCTGCAGAGCAAAATGGATGCTGAATGCAATGAGGTGAAATGAAAACAGAAGGGCTCACATGCGTTAGAAGCTCCAAAGATTCACCAGCAGCAGCTACTCTGTAATATGCTCCTTGTAAAGCTGGGACTGTATTTGAGTAAAATCCCCTTTCAGCAGCAGGCTGTGCGCGTAACATGGAAGAGTAACGCACTCAGCCTTGTGGCTCAGGCTTTCTGTAAGACAGGAACAAAGCTTCCTGCCCTCACAGGAAAATTAGCAATTATGTAAGATAAATAATTACTGGAAAGCACTTGAAAATTAAAGTAAGGAGGATTAGTAAGAGTTAGGAGAGGGTCTACAATTGCCTTAATGTATAAATATGGCCCAATACAAAGAAGGACTCCGAGAATCTCAGGAATTATGGGCACTTCGTTACTTGCCATAATTTGTATAAAATTACAGTTGAAAAAAAACAGAAGCAAAAACAATCACAAAGTCAACACAGAATGGGGAGCAATACATCATACATCAGCCCATTTCCTCCTTTTCTTTAGCTTTGAAACCGCCTTGATGAAGTGCTACTTAAAGTAAAGATGAAATCCCGCTTAACCTCCTTCCTGAAAAGGATGAGGACCAGAAAATTACTTTTAAAATTTCAATGCTCAACTAACTGGAAGAAAGAAAATAACTCTTTAAATGGGAGAGTCTTATCTGGAAAGAAAAATGGCTAGGATGTACCATTCGGTACAGAAGGAATCAGGGAATGCTTCGTGTCGTACACTGTTTCAGTGTACCTGTGGCTCTGAGGCATCTCTGCTTTTATCAGATGACTGCTGCGACGGAGCTGTCCAGGTGCAATTATTATTGAAATAAAAAGAAGATAAAGCCATGGTTTAAAGGCAGTCTGCAGCTGAGCCCCTGGCTACTCATCTGCTCCAATAAGGAAAAAGCAGGCACAGGGCAGCCTCTTCCCCATGGGGGCCTGATCCAGGACAGGGCAGCACCCAGCTGTGGCAGGGCAGATGGCTCCCATCCTGCTCTGTCTGCTTGACCAAGAAGGTCCAACTGCATTTCCAGGCTTCCCTTGCACAATACGCAGTGGCACCAGGCTTAATTTTGTCTGTCTGAAAGCAAAGGACATCAAGATCAGCTGCACAGCAATGCCAAGGTTCAAAGAAAAGGAACTAGAGAAAGCCTGAACTCAGACCGTCCCTTGCTCTGAACTGGTAGCACCTAGGCCACCTTGGGCACAGCTAACCCTGATAACAACTGCAAAAGCATCAGTGTAATCTGGCCAGGGCATGTCTGTAGCAAATGTGTACTGAAGCACCAATAAATGCTAAAACTAGAAGCTTAAAAATACTGACCAGAGCCGCCAGCAGGATCAGTGTTTTACCTGGCACTCAGTGAGAGGTCCAGAATTCACAGCCTGTCAGTACTGTTAAGAGGTGACAGATACAACAACACAAGCCTAAAGAGGAACCTTGGCTCCCAGGCTTATCTTTCACACCAAGTTTTACTGCCTCACTTTAGGGCTCTATTTTGCAAGTCTCACAAGCAAATTATGGCACACACAGGAAGAAGCCCAGAGCAGATCAGACAGCCCCAGCCTATTTTAAGGGGACTGATCTCTGCCCAGACTTCACAGGCAGCCTGTCCTGCTGCATCATGTAAGAGCATCCCTCCAGTACTCCGCGAGCTTCTCGTCTCGCTTCCAGTGGTTTCTCCTTGATACCACATCATCCTAAAGCAGCTTACCTGAACCTACTACTAAGGTTCCTCGCCCAAGTTACCAGTGGAGCCAACAGTCCATAACAACTTATTCTGAACAAAATATTTAAAAAATGCAATGTCTAAGAACAGTTACCCCTGGGTCACTGTTCTTAATCATCACTGAATTCAGAGTAATGGGAGTAAGATTCATAAGAAGTCCTTATCCAGGCAGGCTTTCAGAGACCTTCCTTGGGGCTCCTTGCCTGCACCAATACGGGGCCAGGCATGTGGGGACCCCAACC